AAAAAAAGAAAGAAAAAAAAGCTTGTATTTTATGTTTAAATAGTCAGATGCAGGCTGGGGATGTTCCTCATAGTAGGGCCTTTGCTTAGCATGTGGGAAGCCCTGAGTTCTATCCCTAGCACCATAAAAAAAACAAACAAACAAACAAACAAACAAACAAACAAAAAAACTGTGTTGTCATTAAAAAAATTTTCATGCCAGTTTGTGAATTCTCCCCCTCATCCCCAACATAAAAGGAGGTTCAGTTCTTTCAGTATCCCTTTATCCTCCACACCTTTTTTACCTTTTGCACTGGAGGTTCATTAGTAACACCCCTAACCTCTACTCAGGACCTATACTCAGTAGATGGCAGTAGCACCCACACAGCTGTGAAGACATTTGCCCTGGGGCAAAGTCTTCATAGCCTAAGAAAGACTAATATACATCTTTAGACAATCAGTCTCCAGTGTGGAAAACAAGATTACAGGGGAAAAAAGTGAAAGACAAGAAACTGATTATGGTAATACAGCAGAATCTAATTTGACAAGGGTGGCAGTAGTAAGGGTTAGTAGTAGGAATGGATGGATATAGGGGATACGATGTGGACAAAGTAAATAGAAGTGGAGAAAGAGTGTTAACAATTTTTTCTTATATGGAGGTTTGGGGTATGTATGGGAAGCTTTCCTTTAGGCCATGTTTAGTTTAGACTGCAGTATTTTATTTGGTGTCATGGGCTTGAACATTGTCTCCTAAGGAGAGGGTGTGTGGCTAGTGGCCTAAATATCTAAGACAGCCCTAGGGTTCTCTAGCACCTTAAGATTGCACATAAGAAGGAAAGGTTGCAGAGAAGACTAAAATTGAGAAATGACCAAAAAAAGTAGGTGAGAGTAAAATTTTTAATCAACAATGAAGAATGCAGATTGAGCAATTAAGTTAAATGTAAGAGACGAGTAGATTTGACAAACATTTTAATTACTGATGATCATCACCAAGAGCAGCCTCTGGAATGGTGAAAATAAGTTCAGCTAGAATGACTGAGGATAAGGAAACAGGCTGAAAAATAATAATTGACAGTTTAAGAAATTCTGCATAGCAGAGAAATGGGGCAATATCTGAAAATATGAAGGATTTTCAATAGTAAATACTACAGTCTTTGTACTTTGGGATGATACAAGAATTGATGGGCTCATTGTAGGAGGGAGGCCTGAAGAAGTTGGGATGCAGAATGTTGGTAGAGAAATGCTATTAGTTTCTTATTAGGAGCAAGAAACTTCTTTTAAGAGGCAGGTAGATTAGAAAGAGAAAATGGAGAATTCCTGAGCCAGGCATGTGGTATGTACTAGAATCAGCATTCAGGAGGCTGAGGCAGGACTGGCATGAATCTGAAACCAGCCTGGGCTACAAAGTGAGATCCTGTCTTTAAAAAAAAAAAAAAATTGTTTGATGATTTTATCAGTGAAAAACGGCATGGTTGAAAAGAGACAGTAGGGAAAGGAAGAGAAGGGTTTAGAGAAAGTAGGAAAGTTTGGAGATGTGAAATTAGAAAAAAAATTTTATGTGTTATGAGTGTTTTGCTAGCATGTATGTAAGTGCACCCTGTGTATGCAGTGCCTACAGAGGCCAGAAGAGGGCATATGGTCCCCTGGAACTGATGTTAAGAACAGTTGTTAGCTGTCATGTGGATGCTGGGAACAGAACCTGGATCCTCTGCAAGAGCAGCCAGTGCTCTTAACCACTGAGCCATCTCTGCAGCCCATGAAATTGTTTTAAGAGCAGGAAAACACAGTGTTAGGTATTTGTGGCCATGAAAAAGCATGACCTTTTTTTTTTTTTTGGGTCTTTTGAGACAAGGTCTCCCTGTAGCCCCAGCTGGCCTGGATTCGCTATGGAGACCAGGCTTGCCTCGAACTCACAGAGATCCGCCTGCCTCTGCCTCCCCAGTGCTGGGATTAATGATGTGTGCCACCACATGCAGCAAAAGTATGAAATTTTAAAAGTATAACTCATCAACCTGGCTTCTTCCAAGTGCAGGTGCTTTGGATTAACCAAGAAAGTAGGGCAACAGGACGTAAGACTGAGAGTTGAGCAGTGAACAGATTTTGTAGGTGAGATGATATTATGAACAAAGCAAAGAGAAATAAGGTGGGATAAAATGATCATTGGAGTTACTAAGCCATGTTGCCTTATCTTGCTTTACCTTTTCAGCCCCAACTTCAAAAACTTCTGGACCACCTCCAGTGGGGCATCCACCTCCTTCAAGTAAGGCTCCTAGGCCTCCACCTATGGGGAGTTGTCCTGTTGCTGGTGTGGAGCCCACAAATTTCCCAGTCATTGAGTCTGAGGCTCTGATGGAAGATGTGCTGAGACCTTTGGAACAAGCATTGGAGGACTGCCGTGGCCACACAAAGGTAGGCCCTGGCACTCCAAGAGATGGAAAGGACTTCTATCTATAGCTAAATCCAAGTATGGCTCTTAAAGATAGACCTTCTGCTTCTGATAGATCCCTTCATTTAACCCTGTTAGTAAATTAGCAACTTGATTTGATCTTTTTTTCTTTCTCTACCTTGAGGCCATTCAGAGCATACTTTGCTGATTTTTGTGCTCAGTGGGAGGGAGAGAAACTATAGTTTCCTCAGCTCTCTGGAACAAGGGATCAAGGAAGGGAGAGGCAACACCATTGGTTCCACTTCCTTCTTTGCATAGTAACACTCTAAGATGAGCTTCTGAGGGTCTGAGAAGCCCTTGAAAATTTAAAATTCGTGTCATACATTTTTTTTCTTGGGAGGTGATCTATAGGCTTTATCACATTCTCAGTGAGGGCCTCTAAACATTAGGGTAAATGAACAAGAATGCTTATTACTAAGAGTAAAACTACTGGTCCAAAGATAGCTTTGTATGAGGCACTGCTTTCCTCTCCCCACTGGGATGGCAGCACTAAGATGGAGGGGGCTTTTGTTTCAGAAGCAGGTATGTGATGACATCAGCCGACGCTTGGCACTGCTTCAGGAACAGTGGGCTGGAGGGAAGTTGTCAGTACCTGTAAAGAAGAGGATGGCACTGCTGGTGCAAGGTATGCTTGGGGGTCCTTTATCCCGCATTGATGGATGAGCTGGAATAGATGAAAGCTGAGATTTTGATCGATTGGGAGGGGAGGTGTAAAAGATGTCTTTTTTTTATTGCCATTTGCTTGCTCAAGCCCTGTCTATCCTCAGAACTTTCACAGCATCAGTGGGACAAAGCAGATGACATCCACCGCTCTCTCATGGTTGACCATGTGACTGAGGTCAGTCAGTGGATGGTGGGAGTTAAAAGATTAATTGCAGAAAAGAAGAGTCTATCTTCTGAGGCGGCCAAAGAAGAGAAATCTGCAGTGGCAGCTGAGAACCAGATACCAGGCTTCCAACAAGATTCATAATCCCAGGGGCTCTGCAGACTCAGCTCACACAATCTTCCTATGCCTTGGTGTAGGAGGCCTTTTCTCACTTGGCTCTATCACCAGGGTGGCTGTCTGTCCTATTTGGCCTGACTAGAGATCCTGTCTGGGCTACAGGAAGATCATTTGTTACTCATAATAAGTGTATTTCAATAAAAACATCTCAATAGTGGGAAATGGGTAGGAGAGCTGAGCCATTCAGATGCCAAGCTGGTTCCTTCTGGCTTAAACCTCCCTATTCCCTGAGTACCACTCTGCTTTTCTTGTTCCATTCATCAAGAAGGGCCTTAATGGGCATGGCCAGATTGCTGCTTGATACTTTTTTCAAAACTAGGCTGAAAAGCATTCTTTATTATGTGGAACAACATATTTGACTAATTTCACTTCCCACAAGAACTGGTGCCTCATTTGGGGCTTCAATGTAGGCCCTATATTCTCTCTAACCACCTAAAAACTGCTGGTACCAAGAGTCCTTGGTGTATGCTGAGAAGAGAGGACACAAGGTTTTTACAGTATTGACTTTGATACTTGTATAGGTAGTAGGCAGAAAAGACAGGGAGAAATTGGGGATGGCAATAAGCTGAAACAGCATCTCTACCATGAATTCTGCTTAGGGATGGATAGGGAGGGGCTGCTGAGAAGGTCCAGTTCCAGGAAGGCTGCTTATTGGAAAGACATAACAGCTCTTGACAAGGGTCAGGCTGTTGCTGTTTATGGCCTGGCAACTCCAGCAGTCTTTTTCCATAGCCTACCTCAGGTTCTAAATGCTGTTGGAGATGGGCCCAGTGGCAGCTGGAACAGACTTGGAGCCTCAATCTCATCTGTACAGCTGAGGGAACATGAGAGCTGAGAACACTGGAGCCAAGACATTTTTTTGAATGTTTACTAAGCAGCCAGAAGGTGACATTCTATCCCCCAGTGCCAGCCCTGAGGGGAAGGCTAGGGCTTGGGAGGGATATGAATAGACCAAAGAGAGCTAAGGGCTTGGCAAGTTGCCCATTCCTATCCTTGGTCTAGCTGCCTGAGAACTAAAGGAAGCCCAGAACCAACAAGTCACTCTTCCAGATTAGATGAGACCAGCTTTGGATACTCCAGAAGAGGTGGTGGCAACAGTGGCAGGAGGGATCCCTTTGTAACTACACAGGTCATCTTGTACTGGATTACATGTCCATTTCAAATTGTGCGTCATCTGGAGAGAGAAGGCAAGAGGACCAGTTGCTTGTCTGAGTAATAGGCCCAGTTAGTGCAGAAACCCCTCTTGGAATGAGCCCCCACTCTATTTCACAGGGGCATTTCATTTTTGGTCCTACTTCCTTACCGGTTATCTCTTCCTCTGTCTCCTCCTGTTCCTTCAGCAACTCCAGCTTGGAGGGTGGGGCTGTTGGGGGAGTTGTGACCCCGGGAATCTGAGGGAGGCAGCAAGGGGGTGTCCGTGCAAAGGGTGAGTTCTTGCACCCCAACAGGAACTTTCGGTCGTAGATGATCCTCGTGCCTGTGAAGGGGGTAAGAGGAACTTAAGTACACAAGTGACTATAGACCCAGGTACAGGCTTCTTGTGCTTAAGGGATCAGGATGTATGTCACATTTTCTTGTGTGTCAAAAGCCAGATCTGTTTTATAGCCCAGCTAGGATTCAGTTGGCAAGCTATCACAGCACTAAAAGACAGATGGACCCAAGTTGTGTCTAAACATTAAGGCAAGTTGGGCATTCTAGCTAGTCCAAGTAGGAGCTTTAGGTTGAGGTGGTAGAGTCTTGGCCTTTGAATGTAGGTACTTCGGACTATTACTTTACCACTTCAGAACTTAGTTTGCTTTGGTTCATAAAGTGGGGCCTAATATCCAACTGCAGATCAAAAAGCTTAGTTAAGAATTTAACCCAGTACTGCCCAATTTAACTTGGGCTCTCACCTCTTGTAAGGTGTTGTAATCCCCCTGACACCTGCTTTCCCTGGGAAACAGATAATACTGTTCTTACTCTGACCGCTCCCAAGTTTGTTTTTTTAACTTTATGTTTATGCATGTAGGTAAGTGCAGCCATGTGGTACAATGCCTGAGGAGGTCAGAAGAGGCTGTTGGATCCCCTGGGACTGGAGTTAACAGTTGCTAGCTGCCATGTGGGTGCTGGGATTGGAACCCAGGTTTTCCGCAAGAACAACCAGTGTTCTTAATCACTGAGCCATGTCTCCAGCCCCTCTCCCAAGTCCTTTAGTGCTCAGCCTAACTAGCCCAAAGGAATTGACCAGTAGTGTCCTCAAAGAGCTGTGTCCTGTTCCTGTCTCCTCGTGACAGGAACCCTTGTTTTGCTAGCCCAGTAGCTTGAGATCCCAGATGGCTGCTCTCCTAGCCAAACATTCACAAGCAAGGTACACAACTGCCCCTTAGGATTTTCTAAGACCTGGTGGTTCCTGTTGAGGCCACATCCTACTGGAGTTTAATAAGCTCCTGTTCCTAGCACCAGTATTGCTAAGTACAGGAGCATAGGTATGACACCTAGAACCAGGGCACAGTGGAGAATTGCAGTCCAGCATCACCAGAAACATGGGTGCAAAGCACTGTGGTAGCTAACTTTTGGGGTTTTGGGGAAAACAAGTTTCAGTTTCAAACATTCTCTCCCAAAGCTATAACCTGTAAAGAAGCCTGCGGAAACACGTCCAAGGCTGTCGCCCTTGCCCCCCCCCCCCCCCCCCCCCCCCCCCCCCACGCACAAACCGCCGCGCCCCCCCACCCCCCCCCCGCCCTCCCCCCCCCCCCCCCGCCCCAAGTCTCGTCCGGAAACAACACGCAGGCGCTAACCAGTGCCCTGTGGACCCCTGCCCTGCCCTGCCCGCTGACCTCCCGGAGTAGTGGCATATAGCGTGCCCCCTGGCGTGGTGCTGTAGCAGTCTGGAAGCTGGTCCCAGGCCCCCGGAATCGGGCAACTCCTGGAGGCGGACATAGTGAGGGGGTAGGAAGGCAACTCGCTGGTGCAGTAAACGCGGAAAAACAGCTCAGAGCTGGAGGCAGTCTCAGTTGACCACGTGTGGCAGGCAGGCAACACCACCAGGGTGATATCATGCCCGGGGCAGGCCAAGCGCCTGTCACTCAACTCGATGGCCCCGCCTACCCGCCCGGGCTCCGCACTGACCCCTGGTCCAGGCCTGCCTGAGTAAATGCTGGGGAGCTATATACTATTATTATTATATTATTATACTATTATACTGGATGTTACGGGCAGATGAGGTGTGGCTGCCCTGTATCTACTCCGACTAGTCTTTTCAACAGTTTAGACAGTAAAGCACTATTATCACATTTTAGAATGACACAAGCCCACACATCCTGCAGGAGAGGATAGAACTCCACCATAAGTATCTGACTCCAGGATGCCTGCCCTTCATCCCAGCTGCAGATTGTCTCTGGTAATTGCAGAACCGGGTGAAAGGGTCTAGATGGCTCAGCCTCGAGTACAGCAGGATTAAAGATCACTAAACATGGGGGTGCAGTGGCATAGGATGGGCTGTAGCTGAGATATCAAGAGTGGGGAGGCCTGCCCTTCACTATGCCACAGCTAAGGAAGGGCTTGGGTGGGAAAGCTTACTAGTCTGTTAGCTCACTGAAAAGTCAAAGGCTGTCTTGCCTTACAGAGTAGTTTTTTTTTACTTCCATCTTTAAATTTACACACAGCGATATGATAGGCCAGAGAGCAATGGTGGAATGGTGGGACAGTTAAGTCTAGTAACTATAATACCAAAAATCCAGGTGCCCTGTTTGGCATTCCTTTGGGGGGGGGCTTTTTGAGACAGGGCCACATGGAACTTGCTATGTAGGCTGGCCTTGAACTCACAAAGGCCTGCCTGCTTCTGCCTCCTGAGTGCTGGAATTAGTGTGCACCACCATGCCTGGCCCTATTTGGCATTCTTAAAACATTACTGTCCCCACCTTCAGTGTCCTAAAGTGAGTATAGATCATCTGACTGCATGCATTTAGCAATATTACCTCAATTCTGTCTTAAGCAGATGATCATAAGCTCTGACTTCATTTTTCATTAAGAAAAATTCTACTTTATAAATCAGTGCTTCTCAAATTTTAATAAGCATATAAATCTCTGGAGATTTTGTTAAAACAAGGGGGCCTGGGATGGGATTCTGGAATTTTAATATGATTCCAGTTAATGCAGACTGCTGGTTTTCAGAATCACATTTCAGGTAGCAAGAGTACATATATTTTATTGTTCCAAAAAAGATTTCCGAGTCTCTTGCCAAGTCTAAATAGTGTATTGACAGGGTTGGAGGGGAAGACTTGGGAGCAGATTGTGGAGAACTGTCAAACAATTTTTAAGAAAAGTAAGTAGTAGTCTGATGAGGGAGAGGGGGCACAGAGTACAGGATGGTGAGGCAGGTGGCTACAATTCAGAAACAAAGAAGGAAAACAAGGAGCTAAAGAGACGGCTCAGCGGTTAAGAGCACTGACTGCTCTTGCAGAGGACCCGGGTTCAATTCCCAGCACCTACACGGCAGCTATGAACCGTCCTTAACTCCAGTTCCAGGGGAATCCGAAGCCCTCTTCTGACCTCTGTGGCATTGCACGACATGGGTGCACTGACATACATGCAGACAATACACTCATACACATAAAATGAAAATAAAATATTAAAAAAAAAAAAGACAAGGTAGAGCTGGCCAGCCAGAAGGCGCAGGTGGTTAAGGCACCTGCTGCCAATCCTGATGATCTGAGTTCCATCATTTCTAGGACTTTACATGGTGGAAAGAAAGAACCAATTCCCACAAGTAGTCCTCTAACCTTCACACAGGTACAGTGGCATATGCATATCCATATCTTTCTCTCTCTCTCTCTCTCTCTCTCTCTCTCTCTCTCACACACACACACACACAAATTAAAGGAGGACAATGTGATTTGATTAAGAGTGGGCTGAGGAGAATAGAGATGTTAGGATAAGGACTAATCTGGTTTGAGAGTCTTAGTAGTTGGAACACTAATGTAAGAGGGAAAACAAAGAGGAGTCTATCTTATACTAGGGAATGAATACTGTGTGTGGAATCTCAAGAGAGAGCACACATAGTAAGGACCTATAATAAACTGGATGGAAGTTCAGAGGGGAAAAGTGTCTAGTGCTTGAGATTTGAATGAAATGAAATTCAAGAATGTAGGCTAAAATCATCTTAGGAGAAGATGCAATGCAAGCAGGGGCTGAGGCACATCAACATTTACTTACGAGATTCAAGGGAGGGGCAGGCAGCTGAGATTGAGGCCAGCCTGGTCTACACAGTGAATTCCAGGCCAGCTGGGGCTACAAGGAGACTCTCTTAAAAACAAAACAATGCCCAGACAAACAAACAAAACAAAACAAGAGATTCATCAAAACAGACTGAGAAAAAGCAGAAAGAGAACTACAAAAGCTGGCGCAGCTTAGGTGGTAGAGTGTTTGTATAGCATGCATGAGGCCCTGGGTTTGAGCTCTAGCACTTCCAAAACTGAAACAAAAACCAAACTATACAGAAGATTCTCAAGAAAAATCCATGTGGAAGTGAGATCTTCTAGGAATCCCCATTACAAAACAGAAGCAAATATTTCTGCTATTGGTTATAGATAACTTTTGTGGAAGCACTGTCTGGGCTGGGAAACCAGAAAATAGGTAGTTGACTTTAGCGGGAAAGCCAGACTCTACACTCACAGAACCTGGATAGAGGATCAGTAGATATAAATCACAGCCTTAATACTAATTACCACCAGACAAAGAAGCTTTTAAAAGCTACCTGTGCCAGTCATGGTGATGCCTACCTTTAAACCTAGCACTCGGGAGGCAGAGGTAGGTGGATCTCTGTGAGATGGAGGTCTGCCTGTTCTATGTAGTGAGTTCTAGGCCAGCTGGGGCTATAGGGAGAGCCTGTCTCAACCTCCCAGGCCCCTAGCACCTCCCCTCCCAAGCTACCTGTGGTTCAGTGGTTAAAATCCCTTGCTGCTCTTCTAGAAGACCTGAGTTCAGTTCCCAGCACCCATACTGGGCAGCTCACAGCTTCCCTATAACTCTAGCTCCAGGGCATCAGAGCTCTCTTCTGGGCCTTTGGCGTGTGCGCGCACGCACGCACGCACACACACACACACACACACACACACACACACACACACACACACACACACACAAATAAAAATAAATTCAAAAAATTAATAAAAATCAAAAATCAAAAGCTACCTGTGCCCAGGCCTCACTATTAGAGCTCCAATTAAACATGTAAATTAACACTATTTACTTTGCCATTAAAGTAAATAGCTTTGAGTTCACACTACCACCATCAGGAAAAAACAAAAGGTGAGGCTTGGCATGTGGCTCAAAACATTAATCCCAGATTTGAGGGTGCTAAGGCAGAAGGACTACTGAGTTCAAGGCCAGCCTGGGCTACAGAGTGATACCTAGTTAAACAGAACAGAACAAAACAAAAGTAAAAATGGTAAGTTTGAAATCAGATAATTTGTTCATGATCTACTGCTCTTAATTAGGTCTTGAAGTCTAGGCTCATGCTCTATTTTGATAGAGAGATGTTGTCTAGGCTGGTCTCAAACTTCTGGGCTCAGGTGATCCTCCTAACCTTAGGAGGATCTGAAAGGCACACGCCACTATATCTGGCTTCATGATCTTTATTATGATATGATATTAACATACTCAAGATTTTGATACTTAAAACCAGCTTTTCTATATTCATTTCTTAAATGAGAGTGAAGGTTAAAGACCCTGCCTATGGCCAATTGCCAAATCACTGAGAGTAAATAGAAAATGCAGTGTTATCACAGCATACATCCCAGGACAGGTTCTACTGTGAAGACATCATGTCCAGCCATATTTCTTGTTGGAAGTACTTTTTGTTAGAGAACAAGATGTTCAGAAGCTGTTTTCCTACAGGCTTGTTTACCTCTTCCTGGGTTTACAATATGGTCCAAAGGTCTTCAACACTGGGATAGAACCATGCATAACAAGTCCTCCTCTCTGGCCTTTTTTAGGGGGTAGTGGCAGCAGTGTTTATGAATGAGGTCCAGACTGGCTCTGAACTAACTTTACCTCCTAAGTGCTGGAATCACAGGTGTATGCCACCATGCCTGGCTCTCTGTTTGGCCTAAAACATGTATGACTAGCATTTCCTTTTCTACAAGCTAACTCAAACATGATAGTTCTCTTCTGTCGTAGTGTTAGGATTGGGAAGAAGAGAGATAAAACCTTAGTTCTATGGCCTGAGATTTCTTACCTTTGGTTAGAAGAAGCCACCATTGGCTGTCCACCTCTCTTTTTTGGTCTGGTTAGCTGAGGTGATGGGATTTCCCCTTTGAGAGCAGGGACTGAAGAAAGCAGACTGGCCTATAAAAGGGCAAGTCAGCACACTGTAGCCACAATAATTTTACAGTCTTTAAACAGCAATAATTTTATTGGTGGTAGAATTTTATTACACTGAACACTATTTGAAATAAGTGGATCCAGAAACCTTGATGTTACAATTTTATTCCTTGAAAGAGCTTTTACTCTCATGGGGTTTGACCTGTACCTTAGCAGGATGTTTCTTAATGACTTAAGGGCTCACTATGGATGTGCACATTTTCTTCTGCCTCCACAAAAATCTCCAAATCAATATTGGTCTCACAACAGGCTTCTGATTTCATATCAAAACCAAAACTCAGAACTGTAAACATTCATTTCCAATATACCTAATACTATTCATTTTCATTGACAAGGAAAAGGAAATCTATGTTAGAGCTACAAGACTCCTTTGAATTCATGTAAGTTCAGTTATTTTCAGACAAGGAATGTGAAGCCCAGAAAAGTGAAATGACTTGCCTAGAGTCATACAGTTACAAGTGGCAGAAAGCAAAGTAGAATTAGGGTTCTGACTCTTACTCTATTGTACCCATACTGCCTCCCTCCATCCCTTGTATGTTTTGAAAATAATCAAATTCTTACCTGAACTAGGTTTTATCCAATGTTCAAGTTGGTAAAATAGCAGTAAAGTAATGTCAGGAAGAGGCAGGAAGAGGAAGAAGAGATTATAGCAGGCAAAACAGAGCTTGGATTAGGCTTCCAAGATCCAAATAGAAAGGAAGCAGTGGTGGTGAAAAGGAAGGGAGCAGAGTATCCCCAGGAACTACTCCTACTGTGCAACTCCTACTTCTTCCTAAGGGCTTTCTCCTTCCTTTCTCTTTATGGGCTGTAGTTCCTAACCTGAAATACAATTTCTTGTTCTGTTGTCTTTGAGGTATAGAACATTAATTTATGGGTGCCTCCAGATAATTCAAATATATTACAGAGAATTAGCATATAATAAAACTTACCTTCTAATTCCACTGAATAATTTACCTAATATTATTTCTCTCTAATGCTTATTTCATCAAGACAAGTTTCATTTATTTCACTAATTTTAGGTCATCATTTCTGTTAGTGACAGGAGAAAACAGCAAGCTATGTAGGTGATCTAAGGGATCCTTTTTCCCCTAGAGTGAGAGGGCCTCTTGAGAATTTTGATATGATTATTGACCAGAACAAGGGCAGTAACTCAAGTGCTCCCTTACAAATCTATTAAAAATAGAAAATAAGAAATGGGCTTAAGGAGGCTTTCTAAGTAAGTAAAACAATATGGAAGACCAAAGAACCAAATTACATCTAACAGAACTGACATGTTATCTCTGATCTGGCCATGGCTTTAGAACCCAGGCAAAGAATACTAAGAATTATTATTGCCAGGGGTGGTGCTGCAAGTCTTTAATCCCAGCACTTGGGAGGCAGAGGCAAGCAGATCTCTGTGAGTTTGAAGTCAGCCTGGTCTACACAGTGAGTTCAAGGCCAGCTAGAGTTACATGGTGAGTCTCTGTCTCAAAAGAACAAAAACATAAATAAAACAAAATAACCATTGTTATGAGTGTAGAAAAGTGCTGGTTGTACAGTTCTGGCCCGAGTTGTTCCCTTTTTCTGTGTGTGCATTCTCTTTTGCCTTCTTTATCAGCCCCCAACTCCCCTGCAACATTTTGTTTTCTTTTTAATACTGCTTATAAAGCCAGGAGATTAAACTACATTATACACACCAGTTAATGACCATACTTTTTAGAAGAATTTCCTCTTCTCTATTGCATCAGATTCTTAGCGAAGTATATGATTTGACCAACTCATTTCAGTGTTTCTATGATTAGTTTATTAAGCATATTGGCTCTTCATACTTGAGGACATGGAACTAAGCCCATCATTAGTCATATATTTATAAACATTACTCAGTGATTCACTAATTTACTGAGTCATCCCCACTTGTGTCTGAATTCAAAAGTCAAGAAGCACAAAAGGAAATCAAAATTGATCATTTGGGTGTTCCTAAACCTGTTCAGTGTCAACTAATTTAAATCCAAAAGTTCTTATTGACACAGTCATGATCCATAAAGAGCAAAATCTATCAGTCATTATCTAGTGGCCTATTTGCTAAAGTCAGATAAGACATGCTGCAGGACTTGAACTCCCTCATATTTAAAATGAAATGGAAGCTATGAGAACATGGAATATTTAACACAGAGTAAACAGATAACAAGTCTTAACAGTGCTTTTTAAGGCTGTCTAAGAATAGACTTTAAAGTGTTAAATGTGAGAAACATGTTATAAACAGGTACAGTATTAACGATCTGGTTCAGTGTGATTGTGGATTGGTTAGTACCTGCATGACCACTGAAAGGATCACACCCCACTTCTAAACACTGTTCATCTTTTTATTGAATATTCTGGTAAATATTTCACATTAATACAGGCTACATTAAGTAGAGCCACTATATGACAAGAAATTTACTCAACGTTTTCCTCTAAGTATGTAAACAGTTATACATGTGTTTACCACCCTAAAAGGTTGAAACATGTAATCATCTAATTCTCTTCTGGATACAAGTAGAATTCAATATGTTTAGCCAAAATACTAAGTTCCATCTGATCTTAAGTTGAAAATGGCTAAACTAACCAGACATAATCAGGTGGATAGGAAATCAACTTGTTCTTATACAATGGGCAATCAGAGAAAATGTCTTAGTTAGGCACATTTAAAAAAAAAAAAAAAAATCCCCAGAGTTCTTCCAAGGTCATACATAGGTCTCCCAAACAAGGCTAAAGAGTAAAGACCTTCTAACTTAGTTGACATATTTGAGATGCATGTTTCCAATATGAGGTGCCCACGTGCCAGGCCAAATCTGAAAAGGGGGAGGAAAAATTGGAATTTCTAATTAGGAATCTTTACATATTTATGAAATGAATAAATAAATTCAATGGCAATTCACTGTTTCTGCCTAGGAAGAATACACACACAAGAAGTAAATATTTAGTAGCATCATCTTGATTATGTAAAACATAATTCAGATCAACATGGTCAGTCACTACTCAGACCTTGCATTGCCCACAAAATTAAGAGTGACACAAAAACATCTGGAAAATGAAAGAGTTTTAAGTCCGTTTTACCTGCTGGGTATCAGTGCAATCAGTTGAATTCTGGATAACTTTTATCATAGGATTCCAAGCAGGATCTGGGTTGTGAAGTCCATTGAACAGTGGGCCTCCTGGAACATCAGCAAGCTGAGGATGAGAGGGTATAATGGTGCCTCCATACATGGAAATCGGTAGACCCTAAAACAGCAGAAAAGGAAGTCTTAACTGAAACGATGACAAATAATGATTCCATAATACCAGATAACCTCTCTTAATTCTCCCTTATTCAAATAACTTCAGAGGCTCCTGTAAGTACAGTACAGTACAGTACTGAGAAATCAAGTGTTTTATCTGTATCTGAAATATTTTTCAATGAGAGAGCAAAAAAACCTAAATTCAATATTAAATCATTAGGAACTTTGCCACATTTGATGAAAATATAACACTCCTATCTTGGTTTCACTAATAAGATTATATTAAGAAGAAAAGAGTAATTCTGCATGAATGATCACAGGCAAAATATGGCCATATCGCATCCAGGAAGCTGTCAGAGCACTCAAGAAAGCACTGGAGAAGATAGCCAGATTTTAGAGGGGCAGACCCCTCCCCCAAAGGTGTGACACAGAAAATGAAACAGCAAAACTCAAATCCCTTAGGTCTTTCAGAAGGGTGGGGACATCTTCAGGACAACTGAGGGCAAACTACTGTAGACAACAGTACTGACTTTTAAAATTGGGCATAAGATCTGGCAGTCATAGAAACAAAAGGGTGATTTCAAGAGAAACTTCCTTAACATGATTACAGTAGCTGACAGTGTGTCAAACAAGTTATGATGATGTTTGTCAACTCACTTTAGAAAAATCCACAAAGCCACTTGCCATAGGCTGGTGGAAAATATTAGAGGGGGCTACCATTCCAGAATCATCTCTCTCCATTGGTTGATGCTGGGAGAATGTGCTTGGATCGGATAATGGTTGATGCACTGGATGGTTTCCTATCATAGACTGTGACCAACCTGATAAGCCTTCTGGAAAGAAGAATTGAAAACAAGGTTTAATATTTATTTGGATAAAACAATAAAACATTACTTTATTCTTATCAAATTCTATCAAAATAATCCTTCTCTAAGAGTTCCAGGCCTGGCAAGCCAAAAACCAACCAACCAACCAACCAACCAACCAACCAACCAACCAAAAGCCCAGTTCCTAGAAAACTGGAGGAATATCTCTACATACCCTCACTACCTTACCTCTCTAAAACACTCAAATAATTGTCCTACCCATTCTACACTGGAAATCTTATGATGAAAAAGAAGCAGGTTAAATTTGATTTTATTCATTTTTAATATTTCTGAAACAGGTCCCACTCTGTAGCTCAGGTTGGCCTGGAACTCATGCCAATCCTCTTGCTTCAGAGCCCTCCTAAGTGATTACAGATGTGAGCCACGATGCCTTGCAGAATCTTTTATCTCAGATCAATTCTACCTATCACACCAAATAAGACTCTAGAGTAAGATTAAGATAGGACTGAATTTCTCAGAGGTAGAAACACTTTCCCCTTATTGTTAAGCGTAGGAATTAATTTTTCCCCATTTATTATTATTACTTATTAGAGAGCCAACCCATGGCTTTGTTCATACAAAGCAAATATTTTACCACTTAACTATATCCCAGCCCCTGGTATTGTGAGAAGGGCTTCACTATGTAACAACTCAGACTGGGCCCTGAATTCCTTATGTAGCCCAGGCTGATCCTGAACTGCTAATCCTCCTGCTTAATGCTCATGAGTGCTAGAATTACAGATATGTACCAATATACTTAGCATAAGTAATTAAAACTCTTTTTTTTTTTTTTTTTTTTGGTCTTTTTGAGACAGGGTCTCCCTGTAGCCCCAGCTGTCTTCAAATTCACTATGTAGACCAGGCTGACCTTGAACTCACAGAGGTCTGCCTGCCTCTGCCTCCCAAGTGCTGGGATTAAAGGCGTGCGCCACCATGCCCGCCCTAAAACTTTTTTTTTTAAAGATAGGGTATCATTATGTAGCCTGGAGGGCTTAGAATTTGCTATGTATACCAGGCTTCTTTCCAGTTCATAAAGATGTACCTGCCTCTCCCTCTCATGTGCTAGAATTAAATGTATGGGCCACATGCCTGCCATGTTTTTAAAAATTTTTAAATTTTTATTTATGTCTATGTGTGTGTACCTCTTCTCTGTTATGTATATCACATAACAGTGCCCAAGAGACCAGAAGAGGGCAGTGGATCACCTGGCACTAGAGTTACAGGCAGCTGTGAGCTGCCTGATATGGGTACTGGGAATCAAACCTAGGTCCTGGAACCAAATTTGGGTCCTTTGCTAGAATAGAAAGTACTCTTAACCACTGAACCATCTTTCAGGTCCCCCAAATTAATTTTCTTTTTTTGTTTTTTTTTAAGACAGGGTCTCCCTGTAGCCCCAGCTGGCCTGGAATTTGCTATGTAGACCAGGCTGGCCTTGAACTCACAGAGATCTACCTGCCTCTGCCTTCTGAGTGCTGGGACTAAAGGCATGCACCACCAAGCCCGGAAAATTAAGTTTTAATGACAAATTCTCACAACTTACTTGAGATGTCTTTTTAGAGAGAGGGCAAGGTAACTGTACCTGACACAGCATTGACACCAAATGACCAGATTCCACTGTGTCCAACAGGAGCAACAAAACTGGTTCCTACAGGGGCTTGTGTGACAGATCCTCCTTGTCGAATCCTGGCCAGTCTCTCTGTTCCAATAGGGGGGGGTATCTTTCGATCCTGACTGGCACTGCCTCCTTTTGGTTGGCCCAATGTTGGTGGAGCAGAAGTGGCTGAAAGAGGTGAAGATGATCCCGAAGAAACAGATGGAATAGGAGAGTCACCTGGTGGCAAAATATTTCTCTTTTGTTTTATTACATATAAAAAACTAGAGGAATACGAGAAACCATGTTGTAGAGACCTATTCCAACAACATAAGTTCTGTAAAGAAGAATTCATTTAAAGACAATTCAAACTGAAAATATTAGTTCTATAACCATCACCCTAGACATCTGCATAAAGTATAAATAGCATATAACATTTTTTTCTCAACTGAAATGAACAATAATTTTCTCAAAAAATATTTATGTGTTAAATTTGCTAAAATATGGCCATGTTCGTAGACTGTAGATTATCATCTGGAAAACCCCTGTGTATGTGTTAGTTCTTTCCTTTCTCTGCCACGTGTACAGTCCCCTTTGCCCATGGGGAAGAGAAGTTAAATGTTAAAAGTACTGTAGTATTCAAGTGAAAGCTTTTTATTTTCTTGTCTTTTTGAAGCAGGGTCTCCCTGTAGCCCCCTGGCCTGGAACTCACTATGTAGACTAGGCTAGCCTCAATCCACCTGCCTCTGCCTCCCAAGTGTTGGGACTACAGGCGTGTGCCACCATGCCCTGCCTGAGAGCTTTGGTTCTTAAATGAACTTAGGTAATTTGGGGACATTTTCTTTGTCCAAAAGACCACCTCATTAAGGAAAAAGGGGGCTGCAGCTGTAGTTCAGTAATAGAGAAAGTGCCTAGCATGTACGAGGCCCTGGGTTCAATTCCCAGCATTGAGGGGAAAAATAAAATATTCTATAATTCTAAGTGCTTCATCTGTTCTACATACTGAAATAGGAAAAATAAAGGAATGTCTATAAAGGGCAATAATATATTGGGAAAATGCAAAAAAAAAAAAAACATACAAAATACCTATAATCAGCTTCTTTTCAGATTTGAGAAATTTCATAACACTGCTCCCACAAGGGTCTTTTGTAAAACTAATATGCATATTACCTATTTTTTTTTTTCTTTTGAGACAGGGTTTCCCTGTAGCCCCAGCTGTCCTAGAACTATGTAGACCAGGCTGGCCTCGAACTCACAAAGATCCACCTGCCTCTGCCTCCCAAGTGCTGGGATTAAAGGCATGTGCTACCACGCCCGGCTTAAAAATTTTTTTTTAATTTTATTTTTTTATGTGTGTGCATGTATTGCCTCCATGTAGGTAAGTGCACCGTGTCGTGCAATGCCCGCAGAGGTCAGAAGAGGCTGTTGGATCCCTTGGGACTGGCAGTTGTTAGCTGCCATGTGGGTGCTGGGATTCAAACCCGGGTCTTCTGCAAGAACAGCCAGTGTTCTTAACCACTGAGCCATCTCTCCAGCCCTAATATCACCTATTTTTATTAATCTCAATTTACACTTTTACACTTGCATATATGGAAGTGTACCATATGTGCAATGCCTGTTGAAGCCAGAAGAGGGCGTTGGATCCCCAGGTACTGGAGTTACAAATGGTTGTTAGCCTCCTTGTGGGTGCTGGGAACCAAACTTGGGTCCTCTAGAAGAGCAGCCAGTGCTATTAACCACTAAGCCACTCTCTAATCCCTGTATTACCTATTCTTGAGCCAAAGTTACAATGGAAACATATTTGGCTTCACATTTCTTACATTTTCTCTCCAATAAATGCCTAACCCTGTCTTGACATGATTACAATACAAACCTTGGGTATCTGTATACTGTCTGTTTTACTAAAACCACAACACCGTGTTCCCTGAAATAAACGGCTTAGTAACCTATTAACTTTGGAAAGAGTTTCTCTAGGATTCCTACATGTGTTTGAGGCGCTTGTCCAAGGATGGGGAGAAAAGTGTTGTCTGTTGAAACTAGGAGTCCCGACAGGTGCTGGGCCTTGCAAGAAAACCCTTGTTCCTGGTATGCCAGAAAAACTTGTCAGAGGAGCAGAAGAAGATGGGGAGCTGCCTGATGGGTCAATGGATGGTAACCCTGAAATGAAACAGGTTCAAGACATCTAATTAGCTGAGGCTTTTAAAACAGAAAATCTAAGGTTCACTTAATTTTTTCAAGAGAAACAATCCTGTGGCTAATTTTTATAGATCACAGCAAAATGAATCATGTATATGATGATATTGTATTACAAACCCATTCTTTTCTTATAATCAGAAGAATATTACCTAATAACTCTATTTGGTATTTTGTTACTAGATTCTTTTCTTAACCTAGGCTGTCCTTAAACTCTCAATCCTCCTGGTGACTGGCTTCTTTCATTTAGCAAAATGTTTTCAAAGTTCCACCCATGTTATAGCATAAATCAATACTTTATTTTTCTTTATTAAATACTATTTTTTTTTTTTCGGTCTTTTTGAGACAGGGTCTCGCTATAGCCACAGTTGGCCTGGAACTTACTATGTAGACCAGCCTGGTCTTGAACTTACAGAGATCCACCTACCTCTGCTTCTCGAGTGCTGGGATTTAAAGTATGTACCACCATACCTGATTTACTTTTTATTAAATATTGTTATATACTTATCATAATATAGCATATCATATCATCCAGTAATTCTACTGTTAGCTAGGTTTAACTTTTAAGGAATTATGAAAAAATTTTTGAAAATGGTTATACCATTTTACACTCTTGCTAGCAGCCCATTTGATGGTTTTAATCTATCTACATCTTTTCCCATTGTTCTTCCTTCTTTTTTACATTTATTTATCGGGGTAGGGGTACATGGAGGACAAAGGATAGCCCAAGGACGTTTGTTCCTTTCCTCTACCATATGGGTCCTAGGAATCAAACTCAGGCTTGGCAGCAAAGCACTCTTACCCACTAAGCCATTTTACTGCCTCCCCATCATTTTTTAAGTATTATAATTTCTTACCTGAAAATCATAGATAGTGAAGACATGAGACTAAGCTTATTGATCATTGTTAATAGGGTCTCAGAAAGAAGTTTAAGATAAATGCTTTCAACCATAGCTTGAACAAATATATTAATCAGAATTAATAAGGCCCTACAAAGAAGGCCAAAGAGAAATATTTTCTATCAAGGACTGATAAGTCACTAATACTGGGTTGTTCTTTCAC